AAATAACCGGCCGATCTAAAAACCTCGTGGATATTGTATCTCGTTACGCAAAACAGTCAGGTGCCAAGGTGGGAAGCGTCGTCAAGGAAGAGGACTTGCGAACCAGAAGGAGACGGTTGTACAGACTCACCACCGAGGAAAAACCCGTCATCCAGTTTCAACAGAAAAACTTCTATAATTTCGTTATGGAAAGCAAGGAAGTTGGAAAAATGCTGTCCATGTTGTCCACATGTTTGCAAGACTTGAAAACGGTAACAAAAACGAATATTTAGGATTTATTTGTTTGTTTCTTTGGTATCTTTGCGACAATTAATTATTTTAAGTCAATGTTCTTATCTACGATATGATTCGTTTTCTTCAATTAATCCTTTTAATAAATAAATAAAAAATAAAAAACATTTTTAAATATCCATAGAATCAAAGGCCAGACTCTATGTGTTAGAATGTAGAGATTTCGCTTAGGTGTACGTTGGACAAATGCGTAGATCCTTTAATCAAAGAACCCATGAACATAAATATACTTCAATATGTTCTTGTTAAATATAAAAACTAATAAAGTATACTAGAGATTCTAGGCACCATATTAATATTAAAAATCAAAAGTAAAAGAATTACGTAATGTCTGCAAATGATGATCATAGAGGTTACATAATAATAATAGTAATCAAAATCTGTTCAGCTTCTTATGAGAAAAAAGGATTTTATATATTTATTTTAAAAAAGGTAGTACACTAAGTAAATATAACACAAAATATATTAACTATTCTTCTCAACAACCAAATTGAAACTTTTGCGTTCAATATTAATTTATTTATTGTAAATTCAATTAATTTTACTTCCAATTAATTAATTGTAAATCAACATTATTATCTTACCAGGAAATGCAAGCATTTCTTTCCAAGTGGAGGCCGTACAGTGTATTGTGGCGAGGTGAAAAAACACAAAGAGAACTTTTAAATTACACCCTTTTAGAATTCGAATTGTTACTACATAAGCATGACGAACTCCGAAATCGTCTAGAAACTGAACCAGACGTTTCAGTAATAGGAGGCTCTTTAGCAATTTCAACTCAAAAACTCAAATTCGGACTTTTAACTGAGATCAAGTCTTGCACTCATAGGTATCACTATTTCAAACTAACTGATAATAAATATATGATACTATGTAAGCTATTACAGAATTGGTTTGGCCATGAAGAAGAAATACAAAAGAGAAATGGATTACGTATACGCTGTCATAAACGAGATGGAACGCAAACTAAACAAGCAGATTAGAGATTTGGATGACGTGAGGTTTACTATGGATACACTCAAAAAGATTCGGGATCAAGAAGTCGATATGGAATTAAAAATTGATCCGATAGAAGTATATAACGTACAATATTCATACTTTATGAATGAAGCACAAAATTATATGCTTTTAGGAAGCATTCAACATACTTAGTAAACATAATGTTACTTTGGAGAGAGAACTGATAGAACAGGTTGACAATTTGAAATACACTTGGTATCAGTTGCAAGCAAAAGCTCAACGTGTTCATGTGCAACTTCTTGATATGCAACCCCATTTTGAAGAAGATCTGAAGAAAAACCTTGAGAAATTTAGACAAGAGAAAGACGAGTACGTAAAAGAGTACAGAACCGCTGGACCCATGGAGACAGGTCTTGCACCACGTGAAGCATCTGATAGACTCATACTATTCCAAGTGAATTTTCAATTTTTTACAACACATGCATGAATATCTATTCCGTTGTAATTTATCTTCTAGAATCGCTTTGATGGGATGTGGAGGAAACTACAAATGTATCAAAGTGGTCAGGAGCTTTTTGGTCTACCTTTGACCGATTATCCAGAATTCGCCCAGATCAGAAAAGAGCTAAATTTACTCCAAAAGCTCTACAAACTTTACAACGACGTCATAGACCGGGTGAATAGTTATTATGACATCCCGTGGAGTGAAGTCAATATTGAAGAAATCAATAATGAACTGATGGATTTTCAAAACAGATGTCGTAAATTACCGAAAGGTCTCAAAGAATGGCCGGCATTCTTCGCCTTGAAGAAGACAATTGACGATTTCAATGATATGTGTCCTTTATTGGAATTAATGTCCAATAAAGCTATGAAACCAAGACATTGGCAAAGACTAATGGATGCTTTGAAGCATACTTTTGAACTTGAAAGTGACGGATTTTGTCTCAAAAATATTTTGGAAGCCCCCTTGTTGAAGCATAAAGAAGATATAGAGGTATTGATTTTGCTGCTCTTTACCAAACCAAATCCTTACATCATCATCGTAAGGTTCTCAGTCCTAAGACTGGTTGGACACGCACCTTTACTCTTTCCTATCCTGAGCTAATCTTCGCGTTTCCCTAAAACTAGAACTTCCCACATCCTTAACTATTTGCGAACAGTAATCTAACCTAGGTCTACCTGTACCCCTCCTAACTCCTGTTTCTGCCTCTAATATGTCTCTGACTAAACCTTCATACCTGAGAAGGTGTCCTACTAACCTATCTCGCCTATATCTTATTGATTTCCATAGAGTCCTCTGTTCTCATATTCTTTTTAATACTTCTTCATTTCTAACCTTCCACGGTATCCTCATCATTTGCCTGTAACACCACATTTCGAACGCTTCTAACCTTTTCTTTTCCGCAGCGCCCACTGTCTATGTTTCGCACCAGTACAACGCCGCGCTCCAAACATATCTACACCTTTAACAATCTATTTCGAATTTCTAAATTAATCGTTCGCGAGCATAGAAGTGACTTCCTTTTATTGAAGGCGACTCGACCCTGCGCTATCCTCTGATTTTAAATCCCTACTACTTCTTTCGTCCTGACTTGTCTTATTTCCTACAAACCTACAACCAGTCACTTCACAACATGAAGATTGGAAAAACTTTGGCAGTTGTTGTAGAACAAACAGAATAGCTCAAAACCCCAACGCCAAAACACGACACTGTAGTTGTCCGAAGCACTTTTCGGTAACAAAGTTACCTTCTTCAGGGACTGAAGTGAACTGCTTCGGAAAACTACAGTGTCGTGTTTTGGCGTTGGGGTTTTGAGCTATTCTGTTTGTTCTACAGTAACTTCACCTATTTTTTCGTCTCCTATCTTTATATTCGCTCTTTCCCTCCTTTTTTCTCCCTTGCATACCAGTATTTTTGTTTTACTTTTATTTATTTTCATACAGTACTGATCTGTCATTACCGCATCCATTTTATTTAAAGGTATCTCTAACTCCTCCTTACTAGATGTTAATACTACTATAAAAAAATCCTTACATTGTTTGATTATTGCCAAAACGTTGTCTAGGACATATGTATTTCGGCGATGAAAGAAAGAGACATTGAAGCGAAACTTCGGCAAGTTACAAATGAATGGTCGGTTCACGAATTAACCTTCCAAACATTTAATAATCGGGGAGAATTATTGCTTAGAGGAGACACAACTGCAGAAACAATTGGACAATTGGAAGACAGCCTGATGATATTAAGTTCTCTTCTATCCAATAGGTCAGTTAATAAAGGTTTTATTGTGTTTAGATTCATTATATCCTTATGTATTTAGATATAATGCTCCGTTTAAAAGGCAGATAACCCAATGGGTTCATGATTTATCAAACACCAACGAAATATTAGAACGTTGGTTGTTGGTCCAAAATATGTGGGTTTATTTGGAAGCAGTTTTTGTTGGGGGCGACATCGCCAAACAGTTGCCAAAAGAAGCAAAACGGTTTTCCAAAATCGATAAGTCTTGGCAAAAGATAATGCAAAGGGCCCACGAAACACCAGGAGTCGTTTCTTGCTGCGTTGGTAAAGCTTTGTCTAAACTTGAACACCTTAATTCAGAAAAAATGTCACACATTTTGCTTGCAGGTGATGATATGCTGAAGCAACTTCTTCCCCACCTGCAAGAACAGTTAGAGCTCTGTCAAAAATCCCTTAGTGGTTATTTGGAGAAGAAACGGATGATGTTTCCGAGATTCTTTTTTGTATCAGATCCTGCTCTCCTAGAAATCCTTGGGCAGGCTTCTGATTCTCATACCATTCAAAATCATCTGTTATCAATCTTCGACAACACGCGGCAGGTCAAGTTTCATGACATGGAGTATAATAAAATCGTGGCGATAGTGTCATCGGAAGGGGAGGTTATTCAATTGGAAAAAGCAGTTCGAGCCGAAGGAAGTGTGGAAATGTGGCTGATGCAGTTGCTTCAAGTCTCGCAAGCTTCAATTCATTCCATCGTTCGGCAAGCTTGGACCATTATCAATGACCAAAACTTCAGCTTGCTGCCATTTTTAGATAAAGTTCCAGCACAGGTATCAAAAACAAAATACATTATCTCGATTAGGGATACCACAGTAGGGTATTTTTTACCACGACATTACCGGTGATATTTAGTCGTTACAGCCGCAGGTCGCTATATCCAAACACAATTATCTATTTATCTACACGCAAAAAGACAAAATTCATTTCGTTTTCTCTTAAATTTTGATTAAACGTTAAACATTGATGAACTTTTTGAAATGCTGACGAAAATGTATCCCTTACTCGAAAGTTTCTCGTTATACCCGATGTCGTTATAGATATATATACAGACAATACGAGGACGGTTCAATAAGTACCCGTATTTGAAGACGGAGGATGTTCCTGAGGGAAATTGGTGTTGTCATCGTGTGTTGCCATCTATCAAACCACGCCAAAACGAATTTCAGACTGATTGATAGGTTAGTTTGGATTTGGCAGCCATTCGACTGAGACGTGTTTCGTTATTTTCGCTAAGATGGAAAAAGAGCAGTATCGTTCGGTAACTCGCTTTTTGTTTTTGGATGGGAAAAAATGCGAGGAGATGAAAACAAAGTTGGATACTGTTTATGGAGACATTTCGCCATCTACGACCACAGTTAGATATTGCTTCAACGAATTTAAACGTGGGCAAAGATCCGTTTTTGATAGGAGCGACCAGGAAGCCTGGCAAACGTTGTTACCGAGGAAATCATTTTACGGATTTTTTAGGAAAAGGAAGAACGATCACTGGACAATACTACAGTGAGTTATTGGACCGCTTCGACAAAAAATTGAAGGAGACACGGACGCATTTGACGAAAAAGAAGGTGCGTTTTCAACACGATAACGCACCGGCACATTCATCAGGAGTTGTTGCCGCCAAAATGCATGAATTACGTTATGAATTTGCTGCCGCACACCCCGTACTCACTCGATTTGACTCCCTGCGACTTCATCTTGTTCCCTACCATGAAGAAATGACTAGCGAGAAAGAAATTTAGCTCAAACGAGGAAGTCATCGCCGAGACAGGGGGGATTTTGGAGAGTTCGACAAATCTTATTTTTTGGAGGGGTAAAAAAAATGGCAGGGTCGTTGGGAGAAGTGTATCTTTCAAAAAGGGGACTATGTTGAAAAATAAAAAAACAAATTTAAAAAGAAAGGTGTCTTCATTTCTAACACGGGTACTTATTGAACCGCCCTCGTATAACAGAAACAGTTTAACAGTAAAAAATGTTCGATTTCCTTTTCTCCCATTCATAATGCAGGTAGGAATATTGGGGTTACAAATGATTTGGACAAGAGACGCAGAATTCGCCCTGTCTCAAGCCAGAGCTGATAAGAAAGTTATGAGCGAAACTAACAATAAATTCTTAGAACTTCTCAATACTCTTATAGACCAAACTACTGAAGACTTAAGCAGAATAGAGAGAACCAAATTCGAAACGTTGATAACCATTCACGTCCATCAACGGGACATTTTCGATATTATGGTAAACTTTTGTGCAAGTTTGTACAAGGCATAAAACATTTGAAAAATTTCAATATCATTTGCAGTGTCGTATCAATGTTCGGCACGCAAACGACTTTGAATGGTTGAAACAATGTCGATTTTATTTCAAAGAAGAGGCTGATAAGACGTTAATTGTTATAACAGATGTATCTTTCGTTTATCAAAACGAATATCTGGGATGTACAGATCGTCTAGTAATAACTCCTCTTACTGACAGGTCAGTAACCAATCTTAAAAAATAGTTTTGGGTGTTACTATTTCTACATTAATGTTTGACAATTTCAAATGTTACACTCAGCAAAATTGTGGTTTTAACTGTTCTTCCTGCTTGACCAATATAACATTTGTTAAATTTATTCTAACGTGACCCCCACTTTTAGTTAAGTTATATATGTATAAGCTACTATTCTGTAAAATATTTAGTGTATCACTTCACTTGAAGAAGCTACTCCGTTAGCGAAACAATTGTCGTGGTAAAAATAAGAAATTGTGAAAATTACGAGTTCTATNAAATCATCATTACCGTATAATGCACGAATGGCAGGAAATATGGAATCAGCAAGCATTGTTAGGTAATTAATACCAGTTACAGTGCCTTCAAATCGAAAAGGTCCAATGAGTCCCCTTGAAGACAAACCGCACCACACATTTACACCAGGCAAATTTACAGCTTTTTCAATTGTAATGTGAGGATTTTCTTCACCCCAGTAAACACAATTGTGCCTATTGACAGTTCCATTAAGTTTGAATTGGGCTTCATCCGACCAAATGATGCTACCCATAAATCCCGGTTCACGTATCACGTTTTGATACGATGTACAGAATCTGTGGTGACTCGTACTCAGAATTGTATTGATGCTGTAGGTCACCAATTTGAACAGTATTAACATTTGTTATTTATGTTTCATTTACATTGGACTTTCAGCTTTCTATTTTCCTGAAATTTAACTTTGTAGAACGGTAAATAAATTTTCTATGGAAGTTCAAAGTGTGTATACATTTTTTTGAAGCACCATGTATAAATAACTACGACAGGATGTTTTCAAAAGTTTGTTAATTTTGTCAGATATACACACCGTTTCTTCTCATAGCAATTGTTAAAAAAAATTGCCCTGCGATCTGACAATAGCAAAAAGTTAATCAATAATAGTCAGTAGGAAAAAGATCTGGTGAATAGGGTGGGTGGTACAGAAGTAACTAGATGCCATAGCAACATATAGTTACAACTATATTGTATAATTAACTCCATTTATATCAGATTGATTAATTTTCTGTTATTTCGTATCAGATGCTACATTACATTAGCACAGGCTTTGGCTATGAGTATGGGAGGTTCTCCATGTGGTCCCGCGGGAACGGGGAAAACGGAAACTGTAAAAGACATGGGAAAAACTTTGGGAAAATATGTTGTTGTTTTCAACTGTTCTGACCAAATGGATTACAGAGGCCTTGGAAGAATATACAAAGGTCCATTTCCCTATTACATTCAATTTTTTTTCAATGCTAATAATTATCCTTATTAATTCCTTTGAGTCTAGGCCTTGCTCAGTCTGGTTCGTGGGGTTGTTTTGATGAATTTAATAGAATAGAACTTCCAGTTCTTTCTGTGGCAGCTCAGCAGGTTGCTGTTGTTTTAGCCGCCAAAAAAGAAAAACGGAAAAATTTTGTCTTTACCGACGGAGACACAATAGACATGTGTCCTGAACTTGGAATTTTTATTACTATGGTAAAATAATTATTATTTTCTTAATCATCATCATAAGATCGTTAGTCCTAAAACTGATTGGACATGCACTAGAACTAGAACATTCCACATCATTAACTATTTGTGAACAGTAATCTAATCTAGATCTACATATACTACTCTTAACTCCTGTTTCTGCCTCTAATATGTCTCTGACTAGTCCTCTCGCCTATTTACGTACATACATACTTCGATAACTTTGTAGAATCCTGGATATGCTGGGAGAAAGGAACTACCAGAAAATCTTAAAATTCAATTTCGAACGGTTGCTATGATGGTGCCTGACCGTCAAATTATAATACGGGTGAAACTGGCCAGCTGTGGGTTTCTCGAAAATATTACATTAGCTAGAAAATTTTATACCCTATATAAACTTTGCGAAGAACAATTGACAAAACAGGTACTTAACTAATTAACTTTTTTTTTAACATAGTAACTAAAATCAGAGATAATATTTAGAAATTGTTGGTTATAAAAGTGCGATTTTCCACATTTTCCTAAAACACATTTGATTAAGAAGATAATTATGTATCTCAAAAAGAAGGCAACCAGTTAAAGAAATTAATTTGGAAATTTGGGTAATACATCCAATACTCACCTTTAATATTTCTCCATTTCTCCAAAATGTGTAAATAGTTTTATAACTTCTGAAAAAACCACATTTAGAATTATGTATTACTTTTATATTCCAAAACATAAGTTCATTTATTTATATTTTAATGAATGATATTGTACAAACCTTTTCGTTTAATATTGTTTGATAAAAGAGAGAAAATAACTCACTTTGAGCCGTTTTTCATAAAATGTGAAGTTTTCATCACCGAAGTTCAATTCAATCCTAAAAATTGTGGCACCATAATAACCTTTTTAAACACTATAAACACGATAACATTCACATCTCCTTCGGATAAACATCGTAAACAACTGATGAGCAATGAAATATGAAAGCACAAGCTAAAAGTGAACGTATTCAACAGTAGGTGGTAGGAGAAGAAAGGGAAATATATAATGCTACTCGAGATAAAGAAATAATAAACAAAAATGTTTTAGGCTACTTTACTATCTAAAATTTGGATTCTATTTTTTGTCTCTAATGCGTACTTACATATACAGGGTGCTTCAAAAAAATGTATACACACTTTGAACTTCCATAGAAAATTTATTTACCGTTCTACAAAGTTAAATTTCAGGAAAATAGAAAGCTGAAAGTCCAATGTAAATGAAACATAAATAACAAATGTTAATACTGTTCAAATTGGTGACCTACAGCATCAATACAATTCTGAGTACGAGTCACCACAGATTCTGTACATCGTATCAAAACGTGATACGTGAACCGGGATTTATGGGTAGCATCATTTGGTCGGATGAAGCCCAATTCAAACTTAATGGAACTGTCAATAGGCACAATTGTGTTTACTGGGGTGAAGAAAATCCTCACATTACAATTGAAAAAGCTGTAAATTTGCCTGGTGTAAATGTGTGGTGCGGTTTGTCTTCAAGGGGACTCATTGGACCTTTTCGATTTGAAGGCACTGTAACTGGTATTAATTACCTAACAATGCTTGCTGATTCCATATTTCCTGCCATTCGTGCATTATACGGTAATGATGATTTTTATTTTCAACAAGATGGTGCTCCGCCGCACTATCACAGGGACGTACGAGCTTACCTGGATCAAAATTTGTCGGGCCAGTGGATAGGACGCAGGGGGCCAATCGAGTTTCCAGCACGCTCTCCAGACCTTACACCACTGGATTTCTTCTTGTGGGGCACAGTAAAAGATGAGGTGTACAAACGTAAACCACGTAACCTAGACATTCTTTGGAATGAGATTCAAGCAGTGTGTAGAGAAATCTCATTGGACGTTTTGATACGATGTACAGAATCTGTGGTGACTCGTACTCAGAATTGTATTGATGCTGTAGGTCACCAATTTGAACAGTATTAACATTTGTTATTTATGTTTCATTTACATTGGACTTTCAGCTTTCTATTTTCCTGAAATTTAACTTTGTAGAACGGTAAATAAATTTTCTATGGAAGTTCAAAGTGTGTATACATTTTTTTGAAACACCCTGTATAAATAACTACGACAGGATGTTTTCAAAAGTTTGTTAATTTTGTCAGATATACACACCGTTTCTTCTCATAGCAATTGTTAAAAAAAATTGCCCTGCGATCTGACAATAGCAAAAAGTTAATCAATAATAGTCAGTAGGAAAAAGATCTGGTGAATAGGGTGGGTGGTACAGAAGTAACTAGATGCCATAGCAACATATAGTTACAACTATATTGTATAATTAACTCCATTTATATCAGATTGATTAATTTTCTGTTATTTCGTATCAGATGCTACATTACATTAGCACAGGCTTTGGCTATGAGTATGGGAGGTTCTCCATGTGGTCCCGCGGGAACGGGGAAAACGGAAACTGTAAAAGACATGGGAAAAACTTTGGGAAAATATGTTGTTGTTTTCAACTGTTCTGACCAAATGGATTACAGAGGCCTTGGAAGAATATACAAAGGTCCATTTCCCTATTACATTCAATTTTTTTTCAATGCTAATAATTATCCTTATTAATTCCTTTGAGTCTAGGCCTTGCTCAGTCTGGTTCATGGGGTTGTTTTGATGAATTTAATAGAATAGAACTTCCAGTTCTTTCTGTGGCAGCTCAGCAGGTTGCTGTTGTTTTAGCCGCCAAAAAAGAAAAACGGAAAAATTTTGTCTTTACCGACGGAGACACAATAGACATGTGTCCTGAACTTGGAATTTTTATTACTATGGTAAAATAATTATTATTTTCTTAATCATCATCATAAGATCGTTAGTCCTAAAACTGATTGGACATGCACTAGAACTAGAACATTCCACATCATTAACTATTTGTGAACAGTAATCTAATCTAGATCTACATATACTACTCTTAACTCCTGTTTCTGCCTCTAATATGTCTCTGACTAGTCCTCTCGCCTATTTACGTACATACATACTTCGATAACTTTGTAGAATCCTGGATATGCTGGGAGAAAGGAACTACCAGAAAATCTTAAAATTCAATTTCGAACGGTTGCTATGATGGTGCCTGACCGTCAAATTATAATACGGGTGAAACTGGCCAGCTGTGGGTTTCTCGAAAATATTACATTAGCTAGAAAATTTTATACCCTATATAAACTTTGCGAAGAACAATTGACAAAACAGGTACTTAACTAATTAACTTTTTTTTTAACATAGTAACTAAAATCAGAGATAATATTTAGAAATTGTTGGTTATAAAAGTGCGATTTTCCACATTTTCCTAAAACACATTTGATTAAGAAGATAATTATGTATCTCAAAAAGAAGGCAACCAGTTAAAGAAATTAATTTGGAAATTTGGGTAATACATCCAATACTCACCTTTAATATTTCTCCATTTCTCCAAAATGTGTAAATAGTTTTATAACTTCTGAAAAAACCACATTTAGAATTATGTATTACTTTTATATTCCAAAACATAAATTCATTTATTTATATTTTAATGAATAAATGTAATATTTAAGAAATTTATTACGACACTATGTTCAATTTAGGTGCATTATGATTTTGGTTTGAGAAATATCTTGTCTGTATTGAGAAGTCTGGGAGCGGCAAAGAGAGTAAATAACAAAGACACCGAGAGTACGATTGTAATGAGGGTTCTAAGAGATATGAATCTTTCAAAATTAATAGATGAGGACGAGCCCTTATTCACATCTTTAGTAGCCGATCTATTTCCCAATCAAGTACTGGAAAAAACGGCTTACCCTGAACTCGAAGAAGCCATTAGTAACCAAGTAGAAGAAGCAGGTCTTGTAAACCATCCATCTTGGACTTTAAAACTTATACAGGTGCCTACACAGTTAAATAATTTTATGTTGCAAACTTATAAGGTATTAAAGTACGTTATGTACATATATATATATATAACCTTTTTTTAACAAAGTAGGTGATTGCAAAATAGTGAGCAATATTCAATTTTAGTTGTACGAAACGCAAAGAGTGCGACATGGTATAATGACTCTGGGGCCTACAGGTGCTGGAAAAACTACATGTATTCAAATTTTAATGAAATCCATGACACAAATGGGAGAACCACATAGGTGTGTGTGTCTAATATTCATTTTATAATGTCCAAGAAAGCAATATTTTGAATGTATTTGTAGGGAAATGCGAATGAATCCAAAAGCAATAACAGCTGCACAAATGTTTGGACGATTGGATGTAGCCACCAATGATTGGACAGATGGAATATTTTCGGCATTATGGAGAAAAACTTTGAAACTGAAGCCTGGTAGTTATTATAGAAACTATTATTTGTTTCCAATTCTATTATTGATCCATATAATTTATTTTCTATAGCCGATCACGTCTGGTTAGTACTTGATGGTCCAGTAGATAGCATATGGATAGAAAATTTAAACTCCGTCTTGGACGACAATAAAACTCTTACCCTAGCGAATGGCGACAGATTGTCAATGTCGCCCACTTGTAAAATTATTTTCGAACCCCATAACATTGACAATGCGTCACCAGCAACAGTTTCTCGAAATGGAATGGTGTATATGAGTTCATCAGGTCTAACATGGAAGCCTGTTGTAAAGGCTTGGCTCAAGAAAAGAAACCCTAAAGAACAAGAAATTCTGCAAGTACTCTTCGACGAGTCTTTTGCCGTAGTGTACTCATGGATAACTCAAAATTTAAACTTGGTCATGGAAGTTCTTCAATGTAACATAACACTTCAGATATTGCAACTATTGGATGGTAATTTGATCAATATTTAGGGTCTGTTCATTTTTAGTAAATTGGTTTTTCCTTTGAAGGTTTGATTCCGGTTAAGGTGGAAGAAGAAGCAGCAAAATCAGAACATGGGGATTTAGAAAGTGAACTTGATAGTGCAACTCCAAGGTCAGAGCATGTAGTCACTGAAATAACCGATGAACATATTCAAAAGTATTACGTTTTTGCGTTAATTTGGAGCATGGGTGCGTTGTTAGAAACAGACGATCGCGCAAAGTTTGATGAATTTTTGAAAGACAAGCTCAGCAAACTTCCTCTACCGTTAAACACCTTAAAGTGCCCTGATGTAAGTGTATCATAAGCCACTTAGCGAAACTCAACAACACATTATCTATAATCATTCACACTCTACCCCTTCTAACTCCCGTTTTTGCCTCTAATATGTCTCTGACTAGATCTTCATGCATGAGAAGATGTTCTACCAACCTATCTCTCCTACTCCTTATTGACTTCCATAGAGTCCTCTGTTCTCCTATTCTTTCCAATACCTCTTCATTTCTAACCTTTTCTAGCCACGTTATCCTCATCCTTCGCCTATAACACCACATTTCGAACGCTTCTAACCTTTTCTTTTCCGCCGCGCCCACTGTCCATGTTTCGCACCCGTACAACGCCGTGCTCCAAACATACACCTTAAACAACCTTTTTCGAATTTCTAAATTAACCGTTNAACGCCGCGCGCCTTTCATATAATTTCTTTTTTTAATAATTTGTGTGTCTATCATCTAGAAATTTAGATTATGTTTGACCAGTAGATATTACCTTTCCAAGGTAGTAGTTGATATCCTTGTACTATTCGTTAAATGTTGTTTTTATATGATCGAACATTTGCAGGCTACAGTTTTTGATTACGTTGTGGACTCTACGGGAGAATGGGAACTTTGGAGAAATCGGGTTCCCAATTACGTTTATCCAGAAAGTTCAACGCCTGACTATGCATCCATATTGGTACCGATACCTGACAATATTCGAATTGATTATTTAATAAGCACGGTAACAAAATTAGACAAAGCAGTCCTTTTGGTTGGAGAGCAGGGCTCAGCCAAGTCGGTGATGATAAAATCTTACATGAAAAAATCAAATCCCGAAAACTTCCTCCTGAGAGCGTTCAATTTTTCAAGTGCTACATCCCAATATCAGTTCCAAAAAACAATTGAAAGCTACGTTGAGAAACGTATGGGCAACACTTTTGGGCCACCGGGTGGTAAAAAAATGATCGTCTTCATCGACGATATAAACTTACCGGAAATCAACTGTTGGGGCGATCAAGTAAGTTCCCTAATTTACTCCCAGTCCTCTTTTTTTAATTAAATTCAATTAATTATTTATGAATATAGGTAACAAATGAGATTGTACGTCAAGTTATGGACATGGGAGGATTTTACAGCTTAGAAAAGCCAGGAGAATTTACCAGTCTTACCGACATGCAATTCGTAGCTGCTATGGGACAGCCAGGTATGTAAATTAGATTTAGAAAGCTGGAAGAATATCTCTATAAAAATCCTTAGGAGGTGGTAGAAACGATATTCCATCAAGGTTGAAGAGACAGTTTTGCATATTCAATTGTCCATTACCTCCTGACGCGTCTATCGATAAAATATTTAGCGTCATCGGACAAGGTCATTACAACCAAAAACGAGGATTTACCCAAGAAGTAAGAAATCTTATTAAGAAGATAATCCCATTGACTCGTTTGTTGTGGAAATCCACCAGAGCGAAGCTTTTACCAACGCCTGCGAAATTTCATTATGTGTTTTCTTTAAGAGATCTTTCCAGGATTTGGCAAGGAATGGTATCCACGAATAATTATTATTTAAACAGTAAATGTAATTCTTTCTATTTGTAGATTGGGACTCTAGCAACTGTTGTGGAATCAGAGAACTGTTTAATGATGTTATGGAAACATGAATGTACAAGGGTTTTTGCAGATCGCTTTACGCTGGTAGATGATAAAAAGTGGTTCGATGAAGAAATGTTGAATTTGGTTGAAAAGGAAATGGGACCAGAATATAGAAAAATGGCAGAACCTTCACCAGTATTTGTCGATTTCATGCGGTAACTACTCCAATTTCTGCTTTTGTTCCACTTTATATTCTTATTCGATAAAATAAACTTTTTTTTTAACTGTGTTTAAATTTTCTAGAGATGCTCCAGAACCAACCGGAGAGGAAGGCGAAGATGCAGACACAGAGTTGCCAAAAGTTTACGAACCTGTCAGTGACGAAAATGAACTACAAGAAAGATTGGATATGTTTTTATCGCAATTTAACGAAATGGTTAGAGGTAATGGGATGGATCTTGTCTTTTTCCCCGATGCAATGCTCCATTTGGTGAAAATTTCAAGAATCATAAGACACCCAAGAGGCAATGTCATGCTTGTTGGTACAGAACCATGATATATTTCTCATGAGTTTCAGCATTCTTGCTTTTCCTGTTTCTCTAACAGTTTTCTTCTCATCTAGGTGTCGGAGGAAGTGGAAAGCAATCATTAACAAAACTGGCTTCGTTTATTGCTGGATATAAGAACTTCCAAATTACCATGACACGTTCGTACAACATAGGAAACTTTATTGAAGATATCAAAGTTTTGTACAGGTCCTGTGGTTGTCAAGCTAAAGGCACTACATTCATCTTCACCGATTTGGATATAAAAGAAGAAGGATTTCTTGAATACCTGAACAATATATTGTCATCAGGGGTGATTTCCAATTTGTTTAACAAAGATGAACAGTCAGAAATCGTGCAGGAATTGACGCCTATTATGAAGAGAGAAAATTCAAAAAGAGTTCTTAACCAAGAGGTTGTTATGGAGTATTTTATGAACAGGACCTGTCAAAATTTACATGTTGTGTTCTGCTTCTCTCCGGTAAGTATTCCCATAAATTCCTTTGCTCAAAGGAACCTTTCCCATTTGTTAAAAGCGTTCCCAACAAACCGGAAAACTAATTTCACAATGGAGAACGGCCGCGAAAGCCTTACGTAATTAATTTAACAAGTGTCGAAATATTTTGAACAAAATCTACTTTGTAGTGACAGCTATCTATCAAGACTATAATTAAAATAAATTGTAGGTAGGAGAAAAATTCAGAAATAGGGCATTACGTTTCCCAGCTCTTATCACTGGATGTACAATCGACTGGTTTCAACCGTGGCCCAAAGATGCTCTTGTCCTAGTTGCTCGTCATTTCTTATCCGATTTCCAAATAGCATGTACCGAGGAAGTGAAAGACAGACTGGTTGTTGCACTTGGATCAGTGCAAGATAAGGTTTCAGAGACATCAACTGAGTACTTTCAAAGGTTTGTCCGCATAACAATATCGAAATATCATTTAAAGAACACCTCGTCAAACTTTTGAAGAAATTTACGATTTAAAAATAAAATAATGTCGTCAGTCCTAAGACTGGTTGGACACGCATCTCCACTCTTTCCAATCCTGAGCTAATCTTCGCATTTTCCTAAAACTAGAACAACCCACATCCTTAACTATTTGCGAACAATCTAATCGAGACCTACCTCTACCCCATTCTAACTCCTGTTTCTGCTTCTAATATGTCTCTGACTAGACCTTAATGCCTGGGAAGATGTTCTACCAACCTATCTCGCCTATTTTTTATTGACTTCCATAGAGTTTTCTGTTCTCCTATTCTTTCTAATACCTCTTCATTTCTAATCTTCTCTATCCACGGTATTCTCATCATTCGCCTGTAACACCACACTTTGAACGCTTCTAACCTTTTCTTTTTCGCCGCACCCACCGTTCATGTTACGCACCCGTACAGGGTCGCGCTCCAAACATACAACTATAACGATTTGTATGAGACCAGAAATAACAATCATACGTTTATTATTGAATCATTACTGAACTTGATAATTCCATTTTTTTTTTTTTGATAAATATGCCCACAGATTTCGACGTTCCACACATGTTACTCCGAAATCATACCTAAATTTCATCGGTGGATACAAGAGTATATATCAAAATAAACAAACTGAATTAGATGACGGGGCTTTAAAGATGGATAAAGGTTTAGAAAAGCTAGCTGAAGCGTCAACGTCCGTGGAATTTCTGAAAAAGGACTTAGCAGTAATGGAACATGAATTGGTGGAGGCTTCCGAGAGGGCAGAAAGAGTTTTAACAGAGGTACAGTATCGTACAGATTATGTATGATTATCATTCATTGTTTTGGGATTTGTTTGTAATAGGTAACTGATAGAGCTAGCCAAGCAGAAATAGTGAAAAATCAAGTACAAATCGTCAAAGAAAAGGCAGAAGCTTTGGTATCGTCAATTGCTGTAGAAAAAGCTTTAGCAGAGGAGAAGTTGGAAGCTGCTAAACCAGCACTGGAAGAAGCCGAAGCTGCACTAAATACAATTAAACCAGCACATATAGGTGAGTAAAAAAATTAAATAAATTTCCTCATTAATATTTAATATTAACCACCATTAAAAACTTCTTAAAGTATTTCATATAAAAGAATATTGTTGGTACAAGAGCATGGTTATGTTTATAGCTACCGTAAGAAAATTGGGAAGACCGCCTCACCTGATTATGAGAATCATGGATTGTGTTCTCATTCTTTTCCAAAGGAAACTGCATCCTGTTATGCCAGATACATCAGCACCATGTCCAAAACCTTCTTGGCCTGAATCGCTAAAGGTAAGAACTTTTAAAAATTAAGGACACATGTTCTTATTAGTTAACAAGTATCTACACTACGTAGTGACCAAAAACATAAAAGCATAAAAAAACCCTTTCAATAGTTTTAGTGCTATTATCACTAAAATGTTGAATTATTATTATTGTGGTAGTCATTTAAGAAGGTAAGTGTGGTTCTTCAAAGCAATCTAATAATAGTAGGTAGCACCGTAGATAGAAACGGTTACAAATGAGGAAATATATGAAAAGGAAAAATGGGAGACATATAACATGCAGTAAAAAGCAACAGAGCTAGATCGCAATTAGCAAAAATAGTTGGGGATATGGGGTATCCTAGTTTTAGCGAGATACAAAAATTAGATCAGGTTAGGAAGGAGGAGGAACTAGTATTAAAACTGATGATGATGATTCTGCTAAACTCAATATGATATACTCAGGTTTCAACGTTATTATATGTGAAAAATTAGAAACATATGAGCCTACAATTTGTTTATACCTTCTTCCATACAAATGACTAAAATAATGAAGTTCTAATTAAGCAATTATTTCCTTTGCACGAATTCACGCAATTAAAGAATTGAAAATATATTTCCTTTATTAACTTGGATTAATAACAAAAGTTGATTAATTTTATTATCACGATTAAAAACAATTAAAAAGCGAATGAAGGGATATAGCGCAAATAGCGTATTATTAATCTTCTTCATCAACTATAGCTGCATTCAGTTCTTGAATTCTGGCTTTTACATCCACGTATTTGGAAGCTGATGTTTCCCACAATTCCGGATCCCACGAAGGGAAATTCGAAATGAAATTGGAAGGTTCGTGACCTTGTTTAATGAAGAAAAGTACAGAATTATGACGATTGTGTCTTTGCAGGGGCTTCTATAATAAAACATATAAAACAGATGATTAGATTATCAACTTTAATGAGGTAAATTACTCTCTTACCAATTTCTTGCCCATTACTCTTCGCTCCTCTTCAGTAGAATTGTTTCCAATCCAAATAAACACTTCCGAAGGACTTTCTAAGATCATGACATCATCATCATCCAAATCTTCCTGAGTGAAATCATGTATCTCTTCAATTTTAGCCCTTGCTTTTTTAACATGCACGTGGAACAATCTGGCTTCTTCGGGAACATTGAGATCTTCTTCGTAGCTAGCGGCGTGGGCTCCTTCACCACCAAGTGCATCCCAAAATTCGTCTGATTCGACATCTTCATCTACTTCCACAGGTGTCCAACCCGGAGCTAAAATCTTCACAAATTCATGCCCCAATTCTTTTTCAGCTTCATCGGCATTCTACAAAAGAAAAACATAGGTACATTTTGTTACATTTGCAACAATCAAATGAGAACTAACTTTTCCAAACCATATCCAAGCGGTATTGTCATTTTCTGCTACGAACACATCATCTGATTCCAAAGATGAGGCTTTTGGTTCAACTTGGATAGCACGAGAATTTTGGGCGTTAGTTCCTCGAATTTTGTAAAGGCGTGTTTCTCCTTCGACATAACCATCATAATCCGTAATACTTTTGAATGAAGCTGCATTTCCACTCAGGAATGTCACCAGTTTACCTTAACAACAAATAGAGAATGTAGATAAGAAGAAGTATTGATTTATTAAGGACAATTAAATACCTTTAAATATGTGCAATAAATGTTTCGGTTCATAGTTCTGGACAACTCGGACAATTGGGAGAGTTTCTCCATTTTCCTTGCTGAACTCAATTGCCTTAAGGAACGCAGTAAATTTATCTCCATCAGAACAACGTTTCCCCTAAAAAAACATTTATCCACCAAACTTCTTTGGAGTTTTATGGTCATTATTACTAACCTCCCAAATATACACCACCCAGGATCCTTCAACCGTTTTATATTTAATAAGGTAACAATCGTCTCCAAACAGTTTTCCTTCTGATTCTGGTGGAACTGGGCTCACTTCAGAATCTGTAACTCTTAGAACCTCTACCTCGCCGGTACCATCGTCTGGCATAAATCCAGGCGCTTCACCACCGCTTTTATCTTCCAATTTGGAAGCAGGTTCGTCCACGACGGAACGAAGGAGACGAGGATGCAATTCACCATGTCCTTGCCATGTAGCAAAGTACTGTCTAAATATTGTTGGCTCGGTTCCTTCAACGACACGTTGAACCCGTGTCCACCCAGGACGACCTTTAGATCGCAAATATTCTTGGGCTTTGCTCATTGCCTGATCCCTTTCTGATTTCTTGCAATTCCTTCCTGTCCATACAAAAATGTTAGCATCTCCTGTGTCCAGAATGAAGCAATCGTTCGAATCCAACATGTTTTGTCGCAAAGGTTTCTGAGCAACAGGCGTTATCTTGATAGGTCCGTTGGAATCAGAGACTTTATAAAGTGTAGCAGGTTCTTCTTCAATGTCTGATTCGGCATCAGATTCTCCAGCTGATTCGTCTGGTATTTCTGACAATGAACCTCCTCCCAAAGCATCGAAGAAAGATTGTACTTCTGCTTCATCGCTTGCATCATCTTCTCAAACAAAAAAAGAACGATGAAACACATGTTTGGCAAATGATTTTAATTAAAAATTACCAATAATGTGAACCCTAGCTCTTCCAGAGTGGTCCTGATCCCTAATCTGGTTTGCAGCACTGATGGCTTTAAGTCTTTCAACTCTCTTACTATCCTTTCCGGTGTAAACGTAGACGTCTCTTCCAACATCCAAAATGTAGCAATCGCCGGTGTTCATAGAAGCAATTGTGGCGTCCACTTGACGGACCTTGATATTCCTTTTACCCTTGACATGGAACAATCTCTTTTCGAATGCATTGGGATCGACGTGTGTGAATCCAGAATTAACACCACCTGCTAAATACCTTACACCATTTTTAAAGTAAGATAGGAAAAGTTGGGATTCGTGATCTTGGACTTCCCGATGTTGAACTGGAGCGCCACCGAGTTGTTCGTCCAATTGAACAGTGTAAATTGCTGCAGCTCCTGATTCATCCTAAAGGAATTCTTATTAAATAGAGACGCACAGTTTCAACTTGCAGACAAGATAACATTAACTCAGTTGCCTTTAATTATAATACTGTTTGGAATTTTTGTAGTACTGAGCTTTTTAATTACATTTTTGGAAATCAATTTTCTTTGTACAATACGTATACTACTTTCCGATCTTAATTTTATTAAGTCCACCATTGTATATAACAACAAATCCTAGGAGTATATCAGTTATCAATTTGCACAAAACTGGTAATAATCGGTGTAATAATGAATGCATTTTAAAGACTAAAATAAGAAGGTACTCACCTGGGTTGTTTCCTTTCCAAGCCAAAAGTGTATATCCCAACTTAGAACTCCTTTTTTCTCTTTCGTCTGCAAAATATTCAATCACAACAAGGTACTCGTTAGAAAAAAGGTGAAAAGGAATATTGATTAGTTACTGAAATAGTAATAACGATTAATTTGTTGATTTTGAAAAAACACTGACGTTTCTTACTCGCATACGAGTCTTCTTCAGGGAAGTTTCCTTCGTTACTGAATTAATAATCAGATCACATAGTGCGAAGAAACTACTCTTTTTGTTCTTAATAAATTGGTGAATCATTTGTTCTTTACAAAACAAAATTCAGTGATGCTATTAAAAAATTACTCACCGATAAAACTATGTACGAATCTCCCGTGTAGAATTTGCCGTAATCCTTGGCTGGATATGCTTTAGGTTCAAAGTTCTGAAACGAAAAATTATCGTTAACACAAAGCTTTTTAATGAAATAACATTATTACAATAGAAAAATAAATTTTTCTTAATTGGAAAAGTTTATAAAACGTTAGAAGCGTTTGTGAAGTTTTAGGTGCATGACGAAAATGCCTACTACATGTGGAATAATAAGGTTTTCAAAAGAGAGTGTAGCAATTAAAAGCTTTCAGTTTTATATTGGAACTAATTATGAAGCTAGAAATTGTTCATTTTGATTTATAGAAAAATTAAGAAACACATTTCTGAAGTACAAAAACTTTAATGAGTAGTTTTCAATTAATGTTTTTATATTGTGTACTCGTACCCATAGAAAGAGAAAAATTTCAAAAATCAAGAAAATGATTAGAACGATGAAGCATTTCATTTATTTAATACGAAAAATTCTTCAATATTTTTTTTATTACTAAAAACTCAAGAAAAACTGCTTCTCTAACTACACTGTGGTTTCTCCAGGAATGTTGTTGTCTAAACCAACTTTTTTCTATAAATTGAAATTAAAAAAAATATTGAAATCCTTCATTCCAAAATTTATGAAACCACAAACGCTTAGATATTTAGTCATTTTTTTTTTCTCAAAATCAGTGTAATTAATAAGATTATCTTCAATTTATCGTTAGATAATGATGTATATATAGAAGTGTTCCAGTTGTACACACACAGCCTGTTACCCAGCCACCTCAATAAATGGATAACTTTTTATCTTATCAATTAATATTTTCCAACTGGTAAACAAAAAACCTTAACGCATAGAACAGATTGCACAAAATTATCAAGCTAGGTGGGAATACGTTAGTCAGACTCGAACAAATCTATTTACAAAATACTTACACCCAATTATTTAAACGCATGAAAGCATTTTTCGACGATTTATTAATACCATTTTTTGAGGTTTTTACGTAAAAAAAAGGCAATGATACAATGTCAAAAGTCTATATACGTTTCTGAGATTTTTTCTTTACTTTTGGCATAGGAAACTACATCCTGATTTACTAGTGCTATTACTATTTCAAATAATAATAGTATAATTCAGTAGTACCTAAAAAAAAGATATGAAAAGTTTTAAGGAATTCAATGAAACGGAAAATCATGAAAACAATGAGTTTTCACATGAAATAATAGAAACAAATATAATTTTTTATGGAGTTTTCTTGAAAAAATGAAATGTTTTCGAAGTTCTTTAATCTGGTCATCACCTCATTTCCATCTGTTTTCACTTCCCGAAAGTAAAAACTCAAGTGTATTTTTGGAAACCAAAAATGCGAAGAATCATTTACATTTCTGTAGTCCATTTCTTCATTGGCAGTAAATTAAAGCGTCACTCGCATAAAGAGTTATTTCAGAAGTTATAATTGGATGTAAGACACCAACAACGAAAATACTTTTACGAGCATCTCATATCTGATGGATTCGGTGGCAACACAGAGAACTCTTTTAAATATCTAGTCGCGGAATATTGGTTTAATTATATTATAATCAGATTATTTAAAAATACCCACCACAATAATCACTACTTATCTATTTTTTTCTTGCAATTATTTAGTAAGTTAAAATGGTAGAGAGGTCAAACTATGATTAGTGAAAAAATTTTCTTTCGATTTTCTGGATCATGTAGCATATATACAGTGGAATTCGTTTATTATGACTTCACCTATATTGACCAACCGCTTAATATGAAGTAACTGCAGTGTTAAGTTTGGTTTTCATATTAAATTCTCTAAAGGAAACTTTGGATTTGCTTAAAATGACATGACAGAAATTATATCCGGCTATTGTAATATTAACATTTTCGCTCATTTTTCTGACCCTTCTTATGTATATTGATATTACAACTCATCGTTCTTTTTTTTTCTGTTAATAAATATATACAATTTCTAGTTTTTCTCTCTATTGAAGTAAATAACTAACCAAAATAGAAAGATGTTTATTTTCTAAGACTATGCTTTTTATGACGCCCGCTTAGTATGACGTGTTCTTCATTTCCCTTCGATGTCATTATAAGCGGATTCTACTGTACTTTACTTTACTGCTTATAAATTTGGATGTTGTCGATTAATTTCAGTTTTAAAAGTTTTACGTACTGTTGCAAATGTATATCAAAAACCTATTCCTTTGAATTTGTTTTTGAAACGACTGAAACTTCGATTACAAAAAGGATAATTATTTAGAAGTTATCCTAAGCCTACCAAGAAAACAACAATAAACCAAAGTTAAAAAAAAGCTATAATTGTAAGCTGTAGAATTTTTAACAAACAGTGGGTTTAAGTTAGGGTGGTTTTATGATATATATATATATATCATTCATGTTGTCCTTTGAATACAGAGAATATAAATACCTAATGTTATTTGCAGTCAAAATTGAAAGCATCAGTTAGAACGTAATGAATGCAGTTAAAAGTAATTTTTATCTGATGAACATCTGCTAGTAGGAATAAACACTAAATAAAACATCCTACTGTTGCTGGGAGCCAAAAGTTCGGAATTCTAACTCAGTTTATGTCTCTTATCTTTACCACAAAAACGTAATAATGCATCAATCACCTAATCAAAAATGCAATAATCGGCTATCGATCAAATGCAAAATTGAATCACTTTGTAAAAATAATTCAATTGTTTACATTTTTTTCAAATTACCACTAGTTATTATTATTCCTCGAACAGAATGATGTAAGCGAGTTTATTTAACAGAATAAAACTTTTTCACTGTAACACAGTAATCATTCAATTAAATACACACCCTTATAAATGTGACTCCAGCCCAAACCCAAGGCCGCGTCCCTTTAACATCAATTGTTCTATAGAAAAATCGATGACATAAAAAACATCAACAGAATCTAGTTATTAGCTGTAATGAAATGTTCGATTTTGTTTTTATTTTTTCTTGTTTTGTTTACATAAATAGCTATACAGGGTGAAATAATAATAAGACAATGAAGTAATTGTGGAAAGGAAAATTAATCTTAAATACTAACTAAAACAGAAAATTTAGATTGAATAGTAAGAAGAATAATTTACAGACAAACGGATTACGCCAGGGCATCTTATTGTAAAATTTTGGTTATTTTATAGTATAATTACTTGTACCTTTACAATTCAATTATATTTCCCTGTAATGACTGAAGAATTAACTAATAATATACCATATAAATTATGCCAAAGTCAAAGTACCCACGTTTTTTACATTACAATTCCATCCATAACTAAACAAGTGTTAAGTATTTTTCCCCTTGGACCAACGCAACGTTTATTGGTTGGACAAAATGTTCTTAGAGGGTCGTGAAGACGTGAACGACGAAGAGGGTACATTGATGAAGTTAAAAAAATAGTATTGGCCAATTGTCAAATCACTGTTGTTGAGGACCTTAACATATCAATTGGCTTCTGCCATTCGATTTTTACCAATGATTTGGGTATGAGACGGGTCTCAATTTCGACTAAAAACAGCATCACATTAACATCGCTAAGGAGCTGTTTAACTCTGTCCACGACGATCCAAATTTACTCCAGAGGGTCATAACTGGTTACGAATTATATGTTTATGGTTATGACGTGGAAACCAAAGCTCAATCATCCGAATGGAAGCTGCCGCACGAGCCAAGACCGAAAAAAGCGCGACAAGTTAGGTCGATTGTGAAGGTTTTGCTTACAGTTTTCTTCGATTGCTGGAGCGTGGTGTATCAAGAGTTCTTTCCACAGTGTAGAACGGTCAACCAGGAATATTACCTGGATGTTATGTGCAATTTGAGCGAAGAAATTCGCCAGAAACGCCCGGATTTGTGGAAGAACAAAAATTGGCGTTTGCACCATGATAACGACCCGGCTCACACATTGTTGCTTGAGCGCGAATTTTTGGCCAAAAACAACACACTAATAATGCCGCAACCACCGTATTCCCCAGATCTGACCCCCTGTGACTTTTTCTTGTTCCCGAAACTGAAGAGGCCCGTGAAAGGGCGATGCTATACTACGATTGAGGAGATAAAGGCGGCATCGAAGGAGGAAGTGCTTCGAGGACTAGAAAAAAAACGTTGGCACAAGGATATAATATCTGGTGGGGATTACTTTAAAGGGAACAAAATAGATATTCATGAATAAATAAATAATTTTTGAAAAAACACAAAATTCCATTGCGAAATTAGTGATGATTGAAGGTGAAAGAATTCATTGGAACGATGAGAAGATGGGACATGAGCCGTAATGAAAATGAATTGTTCTTATTATTATTATTATTTTCCATATTCTAATGAATAACATTTTTACATAATTATCATTAGCTATTTTATTCTATTTTGTAACTATACAATTTAGACTAGAATTTTGCGAGGATTTTGCTAATAAGACTTGCTCTTGGTTTTGACCTTATTCATTTAGATTTGGCCTTGGTCTTAAGAGCATAGTTAAGTCTTGGTCTTGATCTCAGTCTCGCTGAAGTGCAAGACGAAGGCTATTTTTGTTCATCGCCATTCTGAGTCACTGTAAAACCTTGTAGGCTTTGATGATCAGCCAGATAGTCAACAAATGAACAACAAAGTTATTCTGTGAGGGTTCCCTTTTCCCCATTTAAAAATTTAATTTATTATCGTTAGGTATAAGGAGGACCTAGAGATGGCTTTAAATAAAATGGAAGCGGTACTGACAGATCAGTACTGTATGAAAATAAATAAAAGTAAAACTAAAATACTGATATGCAAGGGAAGAAAAAGTAGGGAAAGAGCGAATATAAAGATAGGAGACGAAAAATTAGAAGAAGTGGCTGATTTTAGATACCTAGGAAGTCAGATAAGTGAGGATGGAAGGAGTAGTAGGGATATAAAGCAGAGGATAGCGCAGGGTCGTGTCGCCTTTAATAAAAAGAAGTCACTTCTATGCTCGCGAACGGTTAATTTAGAAATTCGAAAAAGGTTGTTAAAGGTGTATGTTTGGAGCACGGCGTTGTACGGGTGCGAAACATGGACAGTGGGAGCGGCGGAAAAGAAAAGGTTAGAAGCGTTCGAAATGTGGTGTTATAGGCGGATGATGAGGATATCGTGGGTAGAAAAGGTTAGAAATGAAGAGGTATTGGAAAGAATAGGAGAACAGAGGACTCTATGGAAGTCAATAAAAAATAGGCGAGATAGGTTGGTAGGACACCTTCTCAGGCATGAAGGTCTAGTCAGAGACATATTAGAGGCAGAAACAGGAGTTAGGAGGGGTAGAGGTAGACCTAGATTAGATTACTGTTCGCAAATAGTTAAGGATGTGGGCTGTTCTAGTTTTAGGGAAATGCGAAGTTTAGCTAAGGATAGGAAAGAGTGGAGGTACGTGTCCAACCAGTCTTAGGACTGATGACCTTATGATGATGATGATGATAAGTACCGGTGGCTCATTTTTTAAAATAACCCATTACACAAACTTACAGGAATTTAAATCGTTAATAATACAAATATATTTAATCTATTAAGATAACAACATGATAAAACATTCGCTTTTGCTGATTCATAAGCCTCTCCCTAAAAGTGCCTTTTTTTCAGATTAACTATTTGTATTTGTTGAAAACTAATACTTAATAATTTACAAATGTAGCTCCTGCTACCTGATGTTTAAACGTTCCAAGATAAACTATCTGTTTATATAAATGGACATAACACAGTTAAACGATTTTTGGCACTGTGACAACTTATAAAAAGTAATGCATCACTGTTAAACAATGTAATTTTGAAACGCCTAAGATAATAAATGAGAGTTATAAATAAATGTATGTGTAAAATCATTAAAACACTAAAAATATTTTAAAAAGTGTGCTGTACCTTGAAATATGGACTGCTTACAGTTTTGAATAGAAAACCTTAACTGCCTCAAGTATTTTCGGCAAGAAAAATAAGGATTCACAAAAACCCTTTCATCTTTGACCAAAAAAACCCATGCCAAGTTGTAAATCATATGTCGTATTGGTGACGTACAAGGGTGCATAAGTAGAAAAGAATTAAGAAAAGGTTCTTCTTCGTCTAACTAAATGTTCATGTCTTAGGTGTCCTACCATCCTATCTCTACTTTTCTCAATTGACTTTACTTTAATAACAGACAATTTTTGCATTGTTCGTCTTCCGAATGTAAGAAGATATGGGTAATACATTTCAAGTGTATTGAATTCAAAGGTATTACAAACCGGTTGCAGATTTATGTTAAAACAAGACTGCACTCTGCTTTACGGTATATAACAGTGCATTACCCTGTCAGGAAACATAAAAATTTAAGTGTCACAGAAATTCTTTTTAACTATGCACTTAAAATTGAAAACTAGAGATAGTAGATGAATTTAGCAATATTGTCTGCAGCAGTTTAATTGAATAACTAACAATAAATACCACCTAGATAATATTACTAAATCTAAGGTTTATTTCTATTGTGTAATAATAGAAAAAGCACAAATTTAATTGCAATATTACTTTCTGTAATAACTATTTTAGGTTTTTTTTTATATTGCTTCCATCTTACCATATACCAAATGAATCTAAATGGTAATTAAGAAGTATCTGTTTAAAGTTATAGTTTTCAAAATTTTACTTTATTTTTCTAAATATTAATCACAGATGTTAAGGCAAATTTTTAATATTAATACCATTTAAATGACTTTCTAAAGTACTCCGATTACGATGTGATAGTATAAAAACTTGTCCAATCCAAAATTTTTACAGATGATAATCAAATAAGTGGTTTGGTTAAAGCATTACTATTTTTTAACGCGAATTTCTTTTGATCCTTTCTATTTGATTGATTTTCTTCAGCTTTGTTAGACATTTCATATATAAACGGCTAGGAATAAGTCAAATTTAGTTTATAAATGTTTTGTACTATTTGATCGTCTTCAGTTCTGCTACTCTTTAAATATTTAACAGAACGAAACAATTTCAAACAAAAACTTATCAAAAACTACTTCACAACATTTTCGTACAATTTCAATACTTTATATTTTAATATTAAATGCGTCTTTAATTCAAAAAGTTTGTGTAATAAATTGACTCATAAAATGTTATAAAGACCAGAAAACCTATTAGTAATGCTTCAGTTTTCTCAGCGATGTTGTAATCGTTTTTTTTTTTAATTATTTACAATGGCAAACAATTGCAATTGTTAATTTAATAATATAAAAAGGTAATAAAACTGACTCACTAACCTCGATCCTCCAAATTTCGAGTCCGGCACGTTGACCGGCGTTTGCAAAAGCTTCGGCCATAACTCGTGGTCTCTTCGCGTTGAATTTTCCGTTGTTGTTGCCGTTTATTATTGACGGTGAACTGGGTCTACCCGATTGTCTCCCGAATGTTGTCAACGCGTTGCAGCTAGTAATCAAACAGCAGGAAAAACAGAGCGACAAGAGCAACGCTAGCAGGAATTGAGGCCGCGACCTGAGTCTCGTACTTGCCGTCACACTTGTTGATTTCGGTTCCATTCTGCTCAGGCGCGACAATGGAAAGCTGCTCGAAAAGTTGCCTAACCTGTGGAAAACCCCGTCGGGGAAAATTTAAATAAACGGCTCGTAAATATTTTATAAAATACGTTTTCTATTGCAACAAATAACACTAACGTTTCACACGTCATGTAAAACTTCATCAGGATATTTTAGGGCAAGTTAATAATTGGTATTTATTATAGAACTTATAAACAAAGTAAATAAATAATTAAAAACCACGTCGTATCATGTGGTTGTGTCTATTTTTAATTTAAATTCCATAATTGAAGGACAAAAAATTATTAGCTTACAATCTACCTTGAAGAAGTCTCAAACCGACGGCGAAACGTCGGTATTGTTTGCTATACTAATACAGTTACATTTGCTTCTATTTTGACTTGGATTTGTAAAATGATATTTCTCGAAGGAAAAAATGGAAAACTGTAGAAGACAATTAACATCACAGGTTTTGGTTGTTTCTTTTCTTTTAAATAATTTTATAAAATAGATATTTTATTGCAGCAAACTGACGTTTCACACATCATATGGAGCTTCTTCAAGATATTTTGCAATTTAATAATCAGTCTTTATTATGAAACTTATAAATTCTTATGGTAGTCTAAACAATAAAAGATTACGAAAGTCACAATAAGAGTTTCTCGGAATTGCAGAAATTGTAAAATATAGAGATGTTATTAATACCTATTCACCCTTTGATTGCAGTAAAATTGTAACATTTACAATTAATAAGTTTACAAGTTACCATTTAAACATGAGCCCTAATTATTTAAATTTTATTTTAATTATGAATATTGTTTATGATTATTGTATTTTTTAACTCATACAATGTTAGTATAAACTAAGGCTAAATATTAATAGCATGTCTGTCTTTTACAATTTCTGTAACTCGTTGTGACTTTCATAATCTACCCTGATGAAGTTTTAAGATTGCAAAGCGAAACGTTAGTATGTTTATATAAAGAATGAAAACAGTTTTCATCCCCTGAGATTGCTTAATTATCTTCAATGATTAATACTTAATTTTTGTATGAATAAAAATGTCAGCTAAAGCCGATAATTCTCGTTTAATATTCAATATTTGTTTCTATAACTGATTCGATATGAAAATCATGAAAAAAAGTTTAGTTAATGCAGTGGTTATATATTTTGTGACGATTTTGTAATTTCTGTTAGACAATATTACCTCATGTACTCATGGATGTGCATAGTTTTGGAACTCAATATCTATTTTCAATACTAGATAATTAAGAATTACTATACAACTAATGTTATTTAAAATATCACTTTCACTTCACGTGGATTTTAATTTTTTTTGTTTTACATAATAAACATTTAATAACAAATACACAAATTCTTTTAAATAACAAATATGTAACATAAACCTTTAGAATCTTTTGCTTTTATTAAATCAAAGACTTATTGAAAGCGAACGTGCATGAAATTACTCTTTGGACTTTGATACAGTTAGTATTAAAAGCCTATAATTAATTAAGAAAAATAAAGTATCTTTTTATGTTTTTTGCTATTACTCTCTGTAAATAAAAACAAAGCAACATCGCAGAATAAAACTGACTAAATCCAAAAGTAAACTTGTGGTACATTCACATTGTTTGCAAAGACTTTATATAGGTATAATGTAAATATATAATTATTTTTTTTGTATCTTTTGCTCTTTGTTTACGTTTTCGGTAACTCTAATAATATAATAAAGCTTAGCTCATGACGTAACACAATACGTGACTGTGTACTAATTTAATTATATTTTTTTGTGAAATTGATGAATGATAATCAGCATATACATACAAAAATCTAAAATTAAATTACCTTAAACTTCAACTTTAAATACTGCTAAAACAATAGGCAGCAAACAATTAGATTATGGTGTAACTAAAACCGCAATGTTCGTACATACGATCACTTAAACTTCAACACCACAACTATGACGAATACTAATCCAACTGACCATTAATTGCTCTTATAAAATTACTTGTTGTTCTTGCATTGACCCGTTTCGGGAAGGTCTACAAAAACAAACTATGTATGTTAATTTTGTAATGTAAAATCTTGTAAAATACAAAAGCGTTTATGGTTTCCGCGAAAAGATTAGATACTTCTTTTTTCCACAAAATCAAAATTGTATCAGACGGAAAATATTGAGCGTTTGAATTAATTTTAATTAATTATTTTAATGAGAAAACTGCTCGGAGAAGTTGGCGATAAAAGTGAATGGTTTTGTGGGAAGCTTCAATAATCGATCATTTAATCAGCTAAATTTTTAATCGCCCATTTAAAACAAAAACGTAAAATTACCACATTAAGCTCTTTATTTAATTATTGATAATATTATTAAAAACGACGTTATTTTGATTGTTCTTTGTTGAGGGAAAGCCATAATGATAACAGTATATGTAGTAAACTTGACCCCTATAATAACGCCACATCTCTATTTGTCAATAAATATTCACGAAACTTGGTCGTATTTTTTAACAAGAATTTTTGTGGTGG